GGTGATAAATTTGTCGAAGATTTGTGGAAACATTTGAATCTCTAGCAGCAGTAACAGTATTTTCTCAGAGTTACAATGTTTTTAAGTATAGCTATATTATGCTGAGCGTGTAAAAGTACAGACGATGCTGATAAAAAACGAACCGGTCTCTCTCGGGCCACTCGTCTGAGTTTTGGGTCCAGGACGATACGTTCCTGAGATCGTGAGAGAGGCTTTCGAGAGATACGTTCAAACGGTGGGTCAGCATCGACAAGGCTGTGTATAGGTCCTTATATGGTAGCCGGTCGTATATGCCTGTATATAGGGAGTGCTCGAAAAAGAGGCCGCATACGCAACAGAGAAGCAGCGGGAACTCACATATCCTTCGCGTATCAGCTAAATTCTTTTCTTTTTTCTTCTCATTCTTTTCATATGCCTGTGTAGGCGTATGAAACGTACGTGTGCGCACTAACACAAGTCTCGTGTGCTTGGCTGCACATAACGGTAAGAGACGAGGACGAGATCTCGATTGTCCGTAACCACGACGGAGCGCCCGGCCAGATATAAAACATAACTCTCTTCTTGTGCGGTGGACTATGTTTCGCGAATCTATCGCCAGACTACATAGGCAAGGCAGACAGACAAGCCTGCAAAATGATTTTCATTCATTAATGCGCATAAAAATATATTTTCATGTTTCCTTAAATGCCAATTAATCTATTCAGAATATATTAATCATGTTTTAGATAATGAATAATGTCGCTATACAAGATAGATAATTTTGAAATAACAAAAATCGATATATAACTCGATGTAATGCGATTTATTATTTCTTATAAAACATCTCACCTTTGCTATACGTGATTAATTAAATTTTATTATGAGAATCGCTTGCGCTCGTCGCATTTAAGATCGGCAAGAAAATAAACGCTTTAAGGCCGACACAAGAAGCGCTATAACGCAACGACCGTTAGTTCCATTTAATTGAACATCCGTAGATCCTAGCCGAGCCGTGGCGAACAACCAGACAGGATAAGCTTCTTATTGGTTATTATGCAAACTGCAAACGGTGGTATTTAATGAGGCGAGTCGACGCGAGACGACGGCGACGATGCTCGCACAGTGGAACTTGGATAAATCTTGGCCTCATCTTCTCGAGTGTACTCGCGAGGTGAAGAGCGAGCTTCCGCGAGAAGTTAACGAGGAAACTAGGTTGCCAATGCAGCCGAGATGCACCAGCAGAAATCGACGGTAGAGTCATCGAGATAGATTAGGCGTCCAGATTGATATTTCATATGAGTCGTACGAGTGAGGCACGATTTCTAGTACTTCATTTTCAAACGAGGAAAGTATGGCTCTAGGTCGTGCATCCCCATTAATGCGGACGGCCTGTAAATATTTTCCAAATGTTAGAAACTGTGGCATTTGATACATTCAGTCATACCTTAGATCAGACCTGTGCAATTTGAGCTCCGGAGCTCCGGATGTAAGATTTCGGATTGTAAAGTGTTGATAAGTGTTACTCTCTCTCAGATGCATATCGACACTTTACAGTTCTCGAAATCTTACTCACATTGATTTTTTTTTTTTTGCGTCGATGGATTCTTTGCGTTTTGGCTCAGAAGCTCAAATTGAACAGGTCTTAGAAACTTAACAATTTAGTTGAATTTTTGCTGATACGAATTCATTGAAACAATTTCAAAACATTGAGAAACAAGAAGTTCATTCGTGTTACAGCTTATCTCATAACGAGTTTTAAGGATCAGAAATATTTCTTTATCACAGACTCTGGAGTAGGCAACGGCAGAAAATAGTTAAGCCGAGCGAGTATAACTTCATTCATTTCTATTAATATAGATTAATCCGAGTGTAAC